GGGCCCTGAGTGTGTGTGTGCACTCCCACCCGAGCTAAACCGGCATGACTCCTGCTCACTGAGCGACCCCGAAGCCACAGCATTCCTCACAGAGCTGGACACTAATGCTTATGGAGAAAGCAAACTAATAACATGACAGGGAGGTTCTGGAAAACCAGTTCAGTCTACAGTCTGAAAGTGTGATTTAAAATCAGACAGGCTTTAAATTGAGGTTGGCATATTAATGTTAATAGCACTGTTTTTAATAGATGTCCTAAGTTACATATACTGTGCACAAGTCATTTCATTTCCAGTCGAAACGGTCACTAAGTACAAGTTATTCATTTTTTAGCATCAGGAAAAAACAAAAATCATATATGTAACAGATAATTACAAAGCCTCAAGATCAGGTTTCAGTATTTAGTGTGTCCACTCTGCCTTTATTACCGTTTTCATTTTCCTAAAAAATCTGCAGTGATATTTTTCCACATCTTCAAAGTTCAGTCTTAGAAGTTGGCTGCATTTCCTGTTTCTCACGATTCAAGTTTTGACAGCTACTCATCCTTTTAGACCTGCAGCATTGCCTTCTCACAGTGGACGGATGGACAGAAACAACTGTGGATTTGTTCAGATCTGAAGCAAGAGTGGAGCTTGATCTTCTCCTCTCTCTCAAAGATAAAAGCTTTAAATACGGTTTATCTGATGTTGACAGTTTTGGTGGTCTACCAATTCTTGCATAGCTGTCAGGAGTCCCATTTTCTCTTCATCTTTTAAGCATTTGTTGAAACTCTTATTTTCTTTGAATTTCTTATGCAAGTGGATTATCCTATATCTAATCTCTTTGGAAATATCTCATGGAGAAGAAATAACTGGTATTTAAAGGCCTTTTGACTATAAATTAATAAATGAAGGCTCCCTGACTTTTGCACAGCACTGTATAAACAGTTTTTACATTAACTAATATTGATGTTAACTAAGACACAGATTCCCTAATACTGAGATAATAGAGGTATAATCTAAGTATATTATCTAAGACAGGAAAGATGCCCTGACATGTATATATATACTGTATGTTAACAAGCATTAATATTATCAAACATGTTTATTCACAGACTGACAATGATATTCCTATTGCTGTCAAGTGATAGTTTATTCGGCCTGCTGGCGACCATATGGATAGACTTTCTCAAGAATGTTCTGTCTTGTATTTGGGTCTTTAGGCTTCTTAATGGCTTGTTCATGATTCCTCTGATTGTCTCCATCCATCTTACTGCAGCCCACCCTCTTCCTTTTTTTACTTTCAACTGTTACAAGCATCAAAGTCTTTTCTAATGAATTAGTTCTTCTTATGGGTGGTCGATATGACAGTATTTTATCATTATCATGATACATCACCTTACAGTACGCTTTTCTGAGCATATCATGGATATCGTCAGCACTTAAAGAACCTGACCAACATCATGTTTTAGTTAAAAGAGAGCTTAAGTAGTCCTGTTTAACTGGTTAACTAACAGTGAACAAAGATCACCGTACCGCCAACCTATCAAACCTCAAAAAAACTAAACACTGTGATACATACTGTTTATCTTGAAAAAGTCTTCAAGTGTTGTGATATGTTTTTGCCATGTCGCCCACACTTAGTTCTTCTCAAAATATGAGTACAAACAAGAGCTTCACTTGAACTTCAATTTGGTAATCTAAACTTTGAGTGGGAAATGAGGCTTGATCTGCTAAACAAATATGTCGTCACTGGGACGTCTTTGCAGCACTCAATAATATTAACGCTAGTTAATATGACTATATCAATATTAGGGTGTCTTTGCTCTCTTGGAGAATTCTAATGCCAGCTATTTTGAACATACAGTATTAATATCAGATCATCTTTGCTGCCTTAGATTATATTTTACTAAGGCAGGAAGGATTGCAATGCATCATATAGTCATATGAACATGCTTTGACTTTGCTAATAACACAATACAACAAGAGTTAATTCATAGGCTGAGTCAGCAGGGGGCTCAATAACTAATGTGCCTCGAGATTATACTTTATGAGCCAGTTTCCTAAACACACACTAAACCTGGTTTGAATTTTACTGCTAATGGTGATGAGTCAGTGAAAATTCTTTTCTTCGTTCTGGGCTAGGCGTCTATGCCCGTTAAACCAGCCTGATGTGAGTGAATCAAGCCTTTACTCTCTGAAAGCCTATGACCTGCCCAAGAAAGTAAAGTATGATATTATCTGTGCTTAGTGGCCATTTTTCTCTAACCTGCTGACGTCTACAGTCTTGAAGCACAACAGCACATGACTGCATTTCTGAAAAATATGACACTGGCATTAAATCAATAGTGTGTGCTCAGAAAATGACTTCCCTCCTCCCTCTGTGTGAAGTTACTGAGACACAAACATGAAAGGTTTAGTCTTCAAGCCAGGCAAGCAGGCTACAGCTTTAGGCACAACTGTTATGGCCGTCAATGGCAGTATAATAAAAGCAAAACCACACAAGGGGATAAAAAGCATAGCAGTAACAACCTCACAAATGTATCTTTAGAAAAGACAAGCACTATGTGGACTCATGCATGCAGGTAGAGGCAGCTATGCTACCTAAATACCATTCCCTAAAGAAAAGACAATGGCCAGGATTAGAGCTGTAAACACTACCATACAACATGTAACTACACATACAGTTGTCCCAAAGAGTATTTGCACACAATAACACTCGGTCCAATGGTCAACTTTAAGTTATTAAAGTCAACAAAATTATATTACTTTCAGAGAAAAACACTTTCGGCATCAAATCGATGGTAGACTCTTTGTGTGGAGAAAACTTGAAGAAGATTTCTAACCAGACTGTACTGTGAAGCACTGGGGTGAAAATGTCAAAGTCTGGGGCTTTTACAGGTTTACATTACATTTCAATTACAGGTCTGGCATATTGCTTACTGACACAATGAGATTAATGCTTTCTGAATATGGCAAAAATGTACAAATACTTTTTGAGGCCACTGTATACACAGCCTTTGGGTAATTACCAAAAAGCTCAAGAGCTAAAAGCACAAAACAAGTCTTCTCAGGCTGGATTGAAACCTTGGTGGATAGATGTACAAACTACATATCAAATAAAATTATTATTATAAAGGTACAATGAAAAAAATCACCTAAGAGTGAATCAGTGATTTCCAAAAGCTCCAGTCCAGAAACTCCATTTTCTGTGAAGAAAGAAAAGAACAGATTTTAGTCATCTTGAACACTGTAGATCACGCACCATTAGTGTTGATCTTATGTACTGTGGTCGAGAGCCCCCTTGCGTTTAAAGGTGGAAAACTTGGAAGTACTTTTGTCAGTAAAACAGTAGAAACCTCTGCGTGTTCATTCACTGTTACTGTTAAAGTCACCAAACTTTACCTAAAAAGCTCTGCGCGTAATGAGGAAAGCCAATCTTCTTCATCCACGCAGAAACCTCGTCTGGTTTCCAGTCCTCGACTGAAATCATGGCTTCATTCGCGCCCAACCTCACTCGACATCCCTTTTCTTAGAGACAAAAACAAGATCCTTTTTTCAGTTTGTCGTGTTTGGAACCACATTTCATTCAAAGCTCACATCAGACACACACCCATTCCAAGTATGGGGGTCGAAACACACCCACCTTCGGCTCTCCTGTGAGATTTCTCTGAATGTGGCTCCTGTTCTCTTGTGTTTCTCGACACAGCAGCACAGTGAGCGGACACTGCCGAGCCCAGCACAGCACAGGAACACTGGGCTACTCACACTCACACTGCGGCGCCTCGGCAGAGACGAAGAGCCACAGAGCTTGCTTTCCACACTAATGTGCCCTTCTTAACCCCCAATACAGACACCACAGAGAGAAAAAACACCCCTCTATCTCTCTTTCTGCCGGCGCTTATTCAGCACAGCACGAGCCTTTTGTGCCACGCGCCCGGTGGTTCGCTCGATAAAAGGAAACTCAGTTCAGAAAGTTTAGAAATGTAGGACTTCCACGTTTTACACTTTACAGTCCTGTTATTATCCTCTTTATTTCGGTCGACTGTTCAGTACACATCTTACCTTTCTCCTTTTTTTCCGAAAACCCGCCTTCTTATCTGTTCCCCAGCTGTTTAGTGTGAACTGGTGTCAGCAGCTCACCTCAGCAGGTGAGGGCGGAGCTTATCGGCGCGTGTTGCATTATGGGACATGTAGTCCGGTAAAAATGAACATTCTACAAAACGCGTCAGCCAACATCCCCCAGGAAGAATGACTTGAGGCATTTTTACTCTATTTTTACTCTGAATTTAAACTCTATTAGTAGTTTGCACTGATGATAATACGTCTACAAACAGCCAACGGTGCTTAACAGGTCTTTTCCCCTCCCCTCTGTTGTCCTTTTAGTTCATAGTTGTATGGATTCTTTTTTGTACAATTTGTCTGTATTAGTTGTATTTATTGTTCGTCTGTAGTGATGTCTGCTACTGCTTTATATTAAAGGTGAACTCCACTGATTTTTTTCAAAGTTCTGCATGTTTTCAGTAGTTAGGACGTAATTAGTCATTCAGAGTGTTTTGATGTGAAGTGCTCTGCTCTAGAGAAACTTACTGAGTCAGAACTGTTCAAAGTGGTGGTGATAGGAAGCAGATGTCCTAAGTTTAATGCTTCTAAAAGTTCTCTAATGAAGTTTTTACATGAAAAAAAAAAGTGTTAAATTACCTGATGCTAGTGGTACTGTTTTGTGTTTGGTTTGAGCTAAGCCTTTGGCCCAAAAGTTATTTCTAAAAACATGCGAGGCAGTATAAGGCAATATATATTGAAACTTTTTTTTCAGATTTCACTGGTCATTCTGGAGAGGAAAATTTTATATATACACACATATACATATACATATATATATATATACTTACATTAAAAGTAAAGCATGTCTTTTCCTTCTCCTGTAAAGTTATCATTTTGCAGATACGAGGTTGTCCTGACAGCAGTGATTTCTGACACACACAGATATCAGCTGTATAAGACAAATATATCCAAGGATGACAGTTTTTGGTTTTTTTTTGGTTTTCACTCCTTTATTTGTATTCCATGAAAGACTACCTGGGTCTTCTGGTCAGCCCATCTGTATGACCCCACTGGGGAAGAATCTACCGTACAAGCCATAGGACCAGGATGACAAGTGCAATATGAGGGGAGGAAAGTGTCTACAGTTTTTACGTACAGTTTCAACATCTGCGAAGAGGCGACAAATATAAAATATAAACTCTACGGTAACATCACACGCACCACATTTACATCTTAATATGCTGTTCTGTATATACTTCTACTAGTTATACAAGGATGACACACACAGACAAAAACTAATATTTCAGCAGGTGAAACAAATGACAAATTCCCTACAATCAGGGTTAAACCAAGTAACGGCACTAAGCTTTAGGCATTTTAACTCTCTTTACTGGAAAACAAAGCAGAAGGACCCAGTATGCTGTTGCTGTCTGCATGAGTGAGGCCTCCCATTAGGCAATACGGTAATAACACAAATGGTGGAGTAACTGAAGGTAGTGGAGAACCAGTGAGAGAGTCCAGCGCAGCACACTGTTGGCCGCTGATGCAGTAGAGAGATGGGGAATCGTCATTTGCGGCCCTGTAAGGTGATAGCGTCGAACAAGTGCTGAGTGAGTGAATAAGAGCGGCAGCCTCTTCAGGGTAGAGCACCCCAACGCCGGCAGACGAAGCGCCACAGGCTTATACACTGCTGAGGGCATCTACACCAGGCAACACTTTACCTGTGAATAGTCAAAACAAATGTTATTACAGTTAACATCTATGGCATTCACTTGTAATTAGTGACTTAATAGCAACAGCTAGGGTGGCAAAGTACAGCTGTACCAAATGTGTCTGAGCTCATTACTGGGATAGTTTTTGGAGAAGTAGGAGTAATGCACAACTTTCTGTACAGACTCCTGTGCACACAACCTTCATCTGTAGAGTTAAATATCAAGCTATATGGCATGTGGTTTAATTCTTTTATACAGTAAAGCTGGTGAAGACATTTCCACATGCTGGTGTGTATGATATATAGATATACTTCTTATGTTAGAAAGGAAAAACAAAGACGACCATAAATCACAAACAAAGAACTGTCTAAAGATTTTAACATTTACGAAAACTGGATACTGCTGAGCAGTTCAAAAGGGCAGGCAATGCACACAGTAAATACAGGAAAGAAGCACAGTTGATCTGTTTAACTCTTAACTAAGGATGCACCGACAAGGGAATTGTAGGATAATGCCGATATCTGTAATAAAAGTGGGGTAAGAAATCTTCTGCAAATCTGTCTGAAGAAGCCACACATTCAGGAAAGAATCAGTAGGACAGCCACATTTATGGCAAATCACCAGAGGTCTACTCATTTAGGAAATTTGTTTACTAATTTATCTGTCCACAACATACAACGCATGTCTAAAATGCAGCCAATACAAAGAAATGCAGTGTAGCCTTTAATACTGGGTGCGCAAGGCGATGAGGTAAAGAGGTGGATATGGCCTGTTCCAGCAAAACAGCCCTGTATCTGTCAATGCTGACTGCAAGCACCACAACGCTGCCTTCTTTGGCACCAACTCATGAGACAGTGCAGGCGGCAAGGCATCGAGACAGCTGCCTTCAGTTTTGGACACAGCCTAAATAAACCTCTCATCCTAAAATCTTCCAAAACAGGAAATTAAGTAATGCTCACCCTCTAGAAGCTCCAGACTGGCTCCACCTCCTGTGCTCACGTGGCTGACCTTGTCCTCAGTGTCCCACTTGGCACAGCAGGTAGCTGTGTCTCCGCCACCTGAAAACATCAGCCACAGAGAGAACAGAGAAGAGAGATTACCCCCACACGCAGAACGTTGTGGAATAAGAGCATGGAATAATGAAGAAACAATGTTTCTTAGTATAGACATAAAGGGAAGTTACTCTTCCTGAAAGAATGTTTGTCAATACTGTTAATGTTACTCATAATGAACAAAAGCAGACAGCCATCTATTAATATTATGAAAAGCTTGCTGTACCCTAAAGGAAGGGTACAACCTTCCGTTGTTAGCAATATTTAGCATGTTTGGTTAAGCAGTTCCTTTCACTAGAGTAGTAGATAATGATACTCTGGTGCCACCTAGTGGTTACCATGACACTTACATAAAGCATCAGTCAAAATCCTAGATAATGGCATTACATTAGTAAATCACAATACTTTCAATTGCATTACTCAAAATTTCTTATTTGAAGTATATTTTGAAGCGTATTTGAGGTACTTGTAACCTCAATAAGGAGCATCTCGACTCCTGCTGCACTTACCGATGATGGTGATGCAGCCATTTTTGGTCACTTCCACAACTTTGTCCATCAGATTTTTGGTTCCCTTGGCGAAATTGTCCCACTCAAACACACCAACAGGTCCGTTCCACACAATCTGCTTGGCTCTGCTCACAGCCTCTGCATAGAGCTTAGAGCTCTCCGGTCCACAGTCCAGACCCTGGACACAAAGAGAAAGAGAGAGCAAATTTAAAAACAATATGAACATCAAAAGCAATACTCCAGCATTTTTCGATATACCTACATATTCACTACCTGCCCAAATTATCATGCATGATAATCAACCCTGTGCTACGGAGTATTATTTAGTCCAATAAAGACCATGTTGAATGAACTGGTCATCCTACCATCCAGTCTGCTGGAATGCCAGCTTCCACTGTAGCTGTGCCTGTCGCAGCTTTCTCGTCAAACTTGTCTGCAATGACAAAGTCGACAGGGAGAGCAATCTTGACACCATTCTTCTCTGCCTTGGCCATCAGGTCCTTTACAATTTTGGATCCCTCCTCATCAAACAGGGAAGTGCCGATCTGTCCCAATACACAAAAGCAGAACATTTGCAGCTGAGAACACAATTCTGTTAAATTAACAGTTATAATAAATTGATTTTATTAGTTATTAAATATATTCAAATCCTAACAGCGAGCCACTCACCTCCATATTCTTGAGGACCTTGAGGAAGGTGAACGCCATGCCGCCCCCAATGATCATCTCATCCACTTTGTCCAGCATGTTGTTGATCAGCTGGATCTTATCTTTGACTTTGGCTCTGCAATAAGCAAAGAACTACTTTGAAAAAAAAGGCAAAAATCCACTCATATTAGTACTGTAATTACATTACTGCAGTCTAGGACGGGTGTGAAAATCAAAATAAACAGTGGGAGTTCTGCAGCACCTGGAGAGACTTTAGTTGTTTTCATTGTTTGCACAGCTTATCAATAGGCCATTCCTATCGGTGAACTCTGACACTGGCAGGGAGCCAAATATGCAAAACACTGCAGTCATCATCACCAATGAGCATGCAGGGGCGTTTGATTCAAATTAGTTTATAGTTGGAAAGTAAGTCCCTTGCACGATTATGTTTCTACATGCTGTGCTTCTCCTCCTCAAGCTTTCATTTGTTATATGGACTATTATGAGTTTGTTCGAAACTGTAGCCCTACAGCAAAAAGAAACTATTAATTAATAAATAAATAAATAAATTCATTCATTCATTCAGACCTTAAACATTTACAAGGATTATGTGATCTATTTAATCCTGGATAATCGATTGAGACAGTAATAAGTTAAGTATATACAAAATTATCATTTATATGGTGCTTTCTAGTAGGAACTGTCTGTTCCAAACCCTAACCCTTCAAATTTTCAACTAAAAAAAAAAAATTTTTTTTTCAAATTTCTTCTTAAAATATCTTTTTGATTTCTTTCAAAGTTGAAAGATTTATCACAAGTTTAATTTTTACATAATACTTTATTGAAAAAAAATGCCAAGTTTTCATGTCAATACGGAAACACAGTTTTAGTCCACAGACGGAGCCTATAGTTCTGCATTTCAGAACAGGAGGTGAGACTGCTTCCCTGTCCCTCATGGCCACACAGTGAGCAGTTAGATCCTATTGTTTCGAAGTAAACGTGTCCCAAAGTCTGAATATCAGTGTGCAATTGTCACTAACAGAACATATTTTCTGATATTAAGCAAATATTTTGTGTTTTAATAAAAATGTTATGATTTTGTGTGTATACAGCTGTTCAAAGCTGTGTTTGCTAGTCATGTACTGGCTAAGGTTTATAAGTTCTGCTCATAATTAGTTAAAATTGTCACTACCGAAGTCATATGGTAAAGTCTGAGGCATTATTATTGCATTGGTAGCAATAAAATAGGATATTCAATCATTTATTTTAATAAATTAAACATAATTAAGGTATAGGATCACTATTTTAGTCTAAAGTCCAAATCAGTTAAAAGTCAGACTTTGAACCAGTTCAGTAGAATAATCCATATAGAAGTTTACACATTGTCCAATCACACACACCTTTCTGTAAATGTAAAAACCACAATATTATAAAACCATTCTTTCAGAAAACTCACCCAAATTCTGCTATCTGCTCTTGCAATGAGACTTGCAAGATTAACACTCAAATAGTTCAGTGAAAAATTAACTGACTACCCAAAGAGGCTTATTTATCACTTATTGAGAGTCCAAGGTTGCCAGGTTCCAGTTAAAAATCAGGGTAATTGCACAATAGACTAGTATTGTTCTAGACTTTGACCTTCTTCCAAAGGGGACGCGTGTTCAGCAGCACCGTAATGCAGCGGTACAGCTCTGCAGTGTGCTGGACACTCGCTGTGCATTAAGCTAGTGTGTCTGACACACTAAGTAGGGCACTGTCACACATGTGGTTATATTACATAAGAAGATAAACCTATCTATTTCTGGATTGCCATTGATGCTTTTTTTAAGTGTAAGAGTGATGCTCCTTTAAGTGTAAGAGGAGACAGAAGGTGCAGAGAACATTTAGCCACTTACGGACACCCATCATTATACGGCCCATATCATGGAAAATCTAATTCTCACCACTTTTAAAATAAGTTTGATGTAATATGTAAACACTGCTGAAGTTTTAAGACCTGTCACTCACTCCCCACTCCATACAGTCCATATATGGAAACTAAACCCATTTTGAATTCATTGTGTTTGTGATGTCATACATCTGCCAATAATTAAGCCCCACCCATTCACACTGAAGTTATAATGAGAGCTTCTACCCCAGACTATTTTTGAATGAATAACAATACAGCACAGCCAATCAGCTCTTTAAGACACTGTAAAGCACAGCTGGCATTTTCAAATTCTGTAAAATGAAGATATAACATTCTGTTCAGACGATCAAAACCAAAAGCGCCCCCAACCACAAAACTGCGGACCACTTGGTTTATCCAAATAAATTTCCCATATCTTTCCTAACCCTCACCCTCCAAGGATGGCCAGGAAAGGTCTCTGTGGTTTCTCCAAAGCCATGGCAAAGTAGTCCAGCTCCTTCTTCATCAGGAAGCCTGCAGCCTTCTGAGGCAGATCTACTCCCACCATGGAGCTGAAGGAAAGGGGACAGTTAGTTTAGCAGAGAAACCTCATTTGAATATCCTTCCAGTTAAAGGAACCAACCAAACAAGCTAACAAATCATGAAAGGAAACTAATTGCCTCCAGTTAGCACAATATCATTAGCATATTGCTACTTGCTTGCTAACAATTAGATATTTTAGCAATCGGGGCTGAACTATTTCTTTAAAATTTCATTATGTCATAGCATGTTTTCACTTTTCATCACATTTACTGTCCTACTCGTATTGGTCAGGATTGATTCGACATTGCAAACGCTCTCGGGCAACGAAGGATGCCATTCAAGATGGAAGAGTGGCTATGTTGAAACTATTTAAAGCAAGCTGAAGGTATACCTGTGGGCTCTGTGTGCTGTTCCAAAGGCATCATTAACATAGACGTCACCCAGCTTGGACAAGGAGGCCCTGAATGCGTTAATCTCTTCTTGTGATGCTTTGGTCTGGAGAGAAGAGCCAGAAAATATTATGAGCCCAAATGTGTTCAGCAGACAAGTGTGGAAATCTTGACCTTTAATAGTAAACATGCCCAACATCACAATTCCAGGGACTTTTACCATGAAACCGTCAGAGACCCATATGTGGCCCCACACTTTAATTCCTCACTGTGTAAACTAGATAACTTCAAATGTAATAGTATATAATTTTAATAGTAGTTACAGAATACTGCACAGTAGTTATTGAGTAATTAAGCATAAGATTAAAGATACACTATGCAAGTTTTGGAGATCTCTGTTAGAAATGCATAACTGCATGTAACGTGGAAAAACATTTTGCAAATGTGGCTGTGCTTCAGATCCTCACAAGCAGATGAAAATGATGACTGAGCGTGCTGAAAGAGTATTCAAAAAGAACTTAGTCAAAATTTGGTAAAGGACGTGTCTACCAATGATGTGAGTCAACAGTGAACTACTGTCATATCCATTAATATATATTGATTTTACATGTGAAACCTCCACATCGAGTCTTCTTTTTGAGCCTGTACATGTGAAAAACTCCCATGAAATCCAACCCGACGCTTCTGACTTTTAAATTATTTTAGGCTTTACAATAAGCATGTAGTTTATGTAGTTATCTGAAAAAGGGATTACATTTTCAAAAGGTCACTTCATGGGAATACCCCATTTGTTGGACTTGAATGCACACCATGCGCTTGACTTTATTTGGGCTGGTCGCAATTCTGGGCACAGATCAAGCCCAGTCTGTAACTAATCTCAGACCCATAGCATATCTTCACTTAAAATCTCTTATAGACAAGAATAAATGGTCATTTACTCTTGAGAATAAGGGTTTCTAAATAGTTCTTGGTCATGGTTCTGTGAAAAAAAATCTAACTGCCTTTACATTACGCAAAGGTTCTTCATACTTAAAACGGTTCTTCACAAGTATCTCAACAAAAGATTATCTGGGAAAATCAACTCTCCCAGGAGTACTTATTAAGCCATTTTCACAGATCAGATCAAATCAAACAGCCTGAGGGTCTGAAATCTGGCATCACTCAGATCAGGTTTCAGCTACCCTTAAGCATTCAAAAGTTCGCGACTCTTGAACTCAGCCGAGAGAAAGGTCGTGAACGTGCCTGTGAAATGTCTGAGCTCCTGCTCTACAGAGTGTCCAAGGCCCACCAAAGCCATCATCTACTACTGTACCATCAAGAGAACCTTGGAAAGGTCAGCAGGGCGTTTGCGCTTTCCCCCCCCCTCCTTCCTCATCTCTCCTTCCCTACGCTGCATTCCAGCCAGGGCTCCGCAGACCAGAAAAGCAACACACTCACACAAGGCCACCTCAATGCCCTTCCTGTAAATGTCAAAAGGCCAACCATACACTAGAGCAGTCCACCAGGCAGCAGCCTCTGCCCTTTGAGAGTCAAAGGTATGTAAATGCTGAGACTGTTGTTTACCATGTTCCTTTTGAACTGTTCTGTACATTGATAAACTTGACTAGACAATAGTAGTCTAGCAGTAGTAGTAGTAGTAGTATGAGGGCGGCAGCATCAGAGCCACAGGTGTGCAACTGTTCTGCAAGCTTTAAGAAACCTAAACACTGAGCTTCACAATTAATATGCAATACAACTGACTACTAGGAGTAAGTCCACCAAAGATACAATTTGATTATTGTTGGTCTGGAAATCTCAAATTGCACCACAATTTGAATTATTAAAAAATAATAATAATAATAATAATAATAATAAAACAAATTTGAAATAAATAAATAAATAAATAAAATTATAAAACACACACACAAGGAACTATTTGCACAGTAAAGGAAAAGTAACAGTATAAACTAGGGGTGCTTAAATGTTTTGTTCTGGGGGGTCTATAGTTTCAAAGGAGGTTTCAAATTGAGTTTTTAATTTTTTGTAATACTGCACTATATTTGGTAACCAAAGTACCTAAAACACAAATTTAAGAGGAAAATAAGACTTTTACAAGTTGCACACAGTTTAAAAAAAATAAAATAAATAAATAATAAAAAAATAACTCACTGGGTGAGAATTAGGGGGAAGGAACTTAGTTGTAGTCAAAAAATGATCACATAATTACTTATTTATTTATTTATTTATTTATTTATTTATGTATGTATGTCATGGGTCCTTATATTCTTTATATATTACTTTAGAACTTTCATTATGTTTAATAAATACGTCATTGAATATTATAATCAGCTTCAATATTTCTAACATTGCAAAATCAATGCATTTCAAGAAGAATGAATCAGTGCATTTTACCTCCTACTACCATAATGGGAAGGAATGTGCCATATTTTAAATGGATATTAAAAGCAAAGATTCATTCACCGCTCTTAAAACTGCAAGCTCATCTAAGATTAACCGAATAATCCTGTATGATATTCAATTAAAGAAACAACAATGCTAGTTTGTTTCATAAATGACCCTACTCTTCCAATTTCAGCAAAGGTTTCACATATTTGAGCAGACTGCCTGTATGCAGACAATGACTAAGCATTTTTCCCAGTTTATCGTCTGCAGCTGTTAGCTTGACACTCGCCTTGTTTCCTGCGGCGTCTTTGCCCTTGCCCTCCTCTGCAACATGGAAGCGCAGGTTCTCCAGAAGAATAACGGAACCTGCAGGAGGGTCAGCACAGGCACTCTCCACTTCTGGACCGACACAGTCCTTAAGGAACTTAACATCTCTGGAACAGGAAAAAACAATATCAATGTGGGCAAAAATGTAACTCTGACAATGAAATATAACCAGGGCAGGCACACGTACACGGTTGAATAACAACTTGAATAACTTCTTAAATAAGCCATTTGAGAGAACTAATCTTGATTTTTTTTTGTATATCATGATATAGTTGTGAGAATGTGTTGTTAGAATATCATAAAATAATCTGGCCTCATATTGTCCACTCCTCCTTATGCAAGTTCCATGTTAAACTATAGAAGCTGAGCTTTCTTGAAGTGCATCACTGTGTATCACACTTCCATATAAAATCTCAGGCCTGAATTACGTTACATCTGCAGAGGCTGCTCAGTGGAGGACAGTGACATTGACCAACAGTAAGTGGTCATTTCTTCCCAACATGCTCTTCTTGGTTATGTATTTTGTGTTTTATTTTGAAAACTCACATTTTATAATGAATTTGTTATTTCTGTAAGTGCCGAATCAGATAACATAAATAACACAATGTAATACATAATGTAAGGACAATGTAATAACAATATAAATACAGCACAGCGCTGTGCAAAGCTTTAAGGTTTTAAAGGATCAAGCTTGAATGTCTATGATGTGTGAGAAGGTTGTGTCAGACAGTATGGCTCACTCACTTCCCCAGCAGGTTCTTGAGTTCTGCAGCCACAGGCTCCAGAGAGTACTTATCGGGCATGGGGACACCATCGGGCCTGCCCAAGTGGCTCATCAGCACCACAGCTTTAGCCCCTTTGTCTAAACAGTACTGGATGGATGGGACTGCAGCCTTGATTCTGTGTGGGGAGTTATGTTTTAAATGAAGTTAACTGAGTATACTGATTATCAGTTTATGAACATTTATTCATGTAAGTACACTACAAGAAATTTTGATGAAACCAAACCAAAGCAATACTGTTTATAATCTGTTTTACCTCTGGTTGTTTGTGATGGTCTTGTCCTTCATGGGCACATTGAAATCAACCCTGTGTGAAAAAGAAATCAACAGTTATTTTAAGCAGAAGACATGCTGCATATTAGCTGTACTAACATTACTAATATTTTGGTTGGTAGAAATGTAATGATACACTCAGCTCATGATTCATTAAACTAGGTACAATATACTATGATATTCTGAACATATTTGAGTGAAGATTTGTTGAAATGATGACTGTGTGTGTGACGTATGACACTAAACATGCGGGTGTAGGCTAAGGTTGCATGTTCAAACACTGCAATTGCATTAGACAGCATAATTAATAGAACGCATGGGATTCTGCTCATCTTCACAATAGACAGTGTCACAGTTTTGTAGCCCATCGTAGTGCATCACGACATATTGTTACACCTCAAATGACCAGCCACATGACTGGATGAAGCGTTTAACTCCCGACATTCCAGTGCAATGGTGGTGAATTTAATAATACAAATTTGTCTATTACTGCAGTCTGACCCTGATAGTTTCCAACAGCACAATTTACTGAATTCCCTTCTTCTTTTCCCAACATTACCACCACCTTTACCATACTCCACAGCAAAATCCATCCATATCTTTTTCTCTTACTCACCTGGGTCTAGTGTGCTCATAATAATGTACTGTTGTTGTTGTTTCTACAAGACGGTGGCAATGACTCCGAAGGAATTTGGTGTCGATTATGATATAGAAAGTGTCCATGTTGGGATAAGAAAGAAAAGGGCGAGTACTCATCAGGCAACAGACAGTACAAGGCAAAACGTAAGGGGAAAAATGCAATTCTTTACTGACTCAAAAAGCTGCATTAGAGGACAATGACGATACTTTAGAGTTATCATGATAAATTTTGTCATGATGCTTTTCTGAGCATAACATGAATATCATCCATACTTAAAGACAGAGTTACTGCACGTTTCATTAAAAAGAGAACAGAATTAGTCCTTTGTATTATAACACAGTCTCCATTCATTTGTAGAAACTTATTTATTTTGACAGTCTTAGTGGGTATCATGTCTTTGGTTTCCCAAAGACATGCTGCCGGGTGGTAGAGCTTTGGTAGTCTATCTAGCACACAGACTATGAATGGATAGCACTGCAACCATTACCATCAGCTGTGAAGGTGCTCAGTAAGGGATAAAGTAAGGGATCAAAATGTGACAGTGTACACCTTGTAAAACCAGAGTCACTCTGCGCATCTTAAAAATCTCTGGTTAAACAGAAAATTGTTTGACTAAAAAGACTAAAATTGTGTTGTTAGTGTTGCTGTATAGCTTACTGAATATCAGCACAGCCTAGTTGATGTATATGAAACCTACTGGCCTAGCTCTTAGAAGCAAAGACTTACTGGTGTAAACTGACACTAATAAGTCAATACAGACTATTCAGGTTTGTTCCTGTGGTAATCCTTTCCTGCTATATTTGTACTTTTGTGCTCTCATGGTAACATAGCAAAGCTTTTTAAAGCCTCTAATAGATTTTCTACTACAGCATTTCAATATACTACCACAGTCTGGACAGGGACGAAAGCCAAGAAGTCAGAGTCTGGAAGCCCTGCCCATAGCTCATTCACAGGTAGTTATCAATTAATAAGTGACATTAATAGGCCTTTCATAACAGATCAGATATCACCAGTGGAAAAGTGTGAGGACCACAGAAGGTGGTAGTGATCTCACTCACAGTTTCTGCAGTACAGACTGTAGTGTTAACGTGCTACTTAAGTGACTCACTGCTGCTTCATCACAGAACAGAAACCAGCACTGGGATTTTATAACTATGCGATTCAGTTTGAGACATTATTTCCACGGTGCATTTGCACAGCATCAAGGAACGGTGAACAGGACTCTAGTAAAGAGCCGGTGCCCCAGTGAGAGGCTCACAGCTCATCAGCATGTGGAAAGTTTCTCTACCCTTATTATGTGTCACCGGGAGCTCCCGCAAAACACACAGGAGCACGCACACCGTGGCACGTTCACACACAGTCCGCACCACTACGCGAATTACGTAACACCTAAGCCCCCCCTTCCTCTATTCCTCCATCAGTCTGGTGCAACGAGGCAGAAGAATGGATGATCAGCCCAGTCTGCAGTTCTATTGATATCCAAGCTCATAGACATACACCAAAAGCAACAGGAGTATATGGGGGTGGTGTTAATGACAAAGGCCACTGTAGCCATCTAGAAGATCAATGAATTTCTACGACAAGAAAATCAAACTGACTTTTGCATACAGATCATGTTAATGACTGAACACATCATTAGTTTAGAGGTCCTTCTGTAAAAAAATGCATCATTAAAGCAAAACGGAAGAGCCCCCCACGAGACCAAAAGGAACAGTCCAAGGACATGATGATGTCACACTGTCATGGTCACAAGTCGATTTTCAGGATGAAATTAGACACCATTCTGTGCACCACGGGGAGTGTTTTTGCGCCACATCTTGTTTTATAAACATTCATTTCACAAAGCGAACACGTTCTCTTAAACCTCTCTGAAAACCTAAAGAAATATGGTTTTGAGGAAAAATGATGGACTAGTCCTTTAAAGGGTGGTCCATGTTTCCTACGCCACGCTGAACACCGCTCGGTGAAAGGCTGCTTTTGGCAGCACTAGTGGGCTTTTTCACCGCCCCACCTCCACATAAGCCCGGTTTTCTGTATTATTATGCCCTGGGCGACTTTATTTTTACGTATAGTGAACGTGCTTGAGAACAGGTTCTAACACGTCTCACATGACTTCCTATTCTCCAGCTTCTTGTTCGATTCTTTCCGGTCCACCTTAAACGGCGCAGCAGTTACATTTCGGCGTCTCGGGCGAATAAGAAACCTCAGGCGCCAGAATGTACCTGCTGCACCATTTAAGGTGGACCGGGGAAATCCGAACAAGAAGCTCGAGAATAGGAAGGTGACTTAAGCTTCCTTCACATGAAAGGCGCTTTGCTAAACCTGCCTAAACTGCTGACGTCTTCCAAATGCTTTTAAAATCAAAAAGTGATGTTTTCACAGGAAGTCTGGAGATACTCCATCTCTACATGTGATATCTAACCGTTATGCTGGATTAAGGATTAGAGGTTATGTAGCTGAATCTGTTGTAGTTTTCCTCACCGCCGGTAGAGGGAGCAAGTGGGTTTTACTCGGCCTCAAAACCCATGCGTGAAGCCAACTCAGCCACCAGCTACATTTATGAGTGAACGGACAAACGCGGAAAGCTGCAGCACGTTAGGAAATCACAAGTTGTTCTGCTCAGGCCGCATGTGGTGTTCATAACCGGAAATTGCCAAAACGTGAAACGTGACATGCCCACTTCCTGTGCAAGACGCCAACGGAGCCGCTACCATTAATTCATTCTGATGGAGTTCACTGCGGTAACACTGCTCACTCTGTTCACTGAAGAAACCAGCGGCACCGTTCACCAGCACACAGAGCAGCCCCACTTCAGTGAGCCGAGTCTGAGAGCCACATTCTGCTAACGTTATTTACCATCACAGCAGTAAAGCCTTCAGACAGACCGTCTGCTGTCGAAGCTCACCTCATGATGACTCGCTTTCCCTTCACATCCACCTTGTTCAGGGTGAGTTTATTGGACAGAGACATCTCGGATGCTGGATGTTCGGCGTTTCTCCCTCTTGGCTGTGGACTGCAGAGCTGGGTAGTTCCCGAATGAAAATGACCTTAGCTTCATGCTCACGCACCCCAGGTGGGCGGTGCGGGTTTGAGCAGCTTATTGCTTATTGGTTCATGTCAAACAGGGTGTGGGCGGGGCAACCGGGCCCTCTGACCAGTTATTGGGCGAATCTGCTGTCCATCAATTGCGTCTTATTGCGTTTGACTAAAGCCTCCGCATGCGACTTTTTATAGCCTGTTACAGTTTATAAACTACTGTTACTTCAGTGAATGCGTTAGTATCTGCTAATTTACATTTATAATGTAAATAATGCATAATTAAAGTGAGTTTGGGAGATAACCGATATATAATTATGCAGTATTTCTAACTAATGCTTAAAATGACCTCAGACTTAAGACAGACATTTTAACTCACAAATACTATTTTTTTCATGCTATAATTTATACTTGGTTTTAAAAGAAAAAGCTGAAACAAAGATTTTTTTGTGAATTTGGTGTCAAAGCGTGTACTTCCAGGCTGCACGTACTCAATGGCTCTGACGGTGATGCGCCCTCAGTGTAAAAGACAAAATACCGCCATCTCGTGGAGCTCTGCATACTTAACAAGAAAAAAGATGAATTATTCTGAACTTTATAACTAGATTGTTGGTATTATAACAATCTTGCTTCTATATAATAGAAAAAGAGCTAAAGAATTCTTTCCTAACATGCAATGTAGGTACCCGCCTCCATAACGTGTACTGTGCATATTCACAGACATTAACACAAGTGCATACAATCCATCATCATTTTAAAAAAGTAGACATTCAATTTAAATGTGTTAATGCTGATTGTGGACCAAATCTAACTTATTATGCAACATCAAATAGAATGAGAGTAGCTCATTTCCTTTTGCACAAAAGAAACTTGATGTTGACTCACACCAAACATTTACCATAATCATCAACTTCAAGAAAGTTCATATTATTATTAGACCACAAACATTCCCACCGGGCCATCATAATAAGGTTACAACAAAACGCTGTATTCATTATTTAATTTATTACATTTTTACAGACATGCCAGGCCAACAGTACGGCTTAGGTATAGAGCGTATCCATTAAGGAAAATGGAAAAGTTCAGAATGTTTGGGATGTTCCTTCGCACCACGTCCACACGAAGAGGAAACCTGAAGGTGGTGCATCCATTACTCCTTCCATTCCTTGGGCTGCACCTTGCCTACAGGAGACAGATTCCATGCAATGCCGGTCGATGTGATCACCTAGGAACGTGACAAACATTACACAAAGCCAACGTCAAAAACATGAACCTATGAAACGGTACAAGATCAAGTAGATCTTGTTAGTGTGACTAATTTCGGTGGAACATGGACACAAACCGTGCACTTACATAGCCCCAGACTGCAGTGCAAAATGTGGCTCCGGCAATCAGCAGTGGTGTGCCGTACTTTGCGTGAAACTCTGGGGATAAATCTGACGAGGCATGTCGCACAGCAACCTGACGGGAAGCTTGACCTAGAGGGAAGAAAACCCAACTGCTGCGATCACAAAGTGTACAGGACACATTTGTCATTCACAATGATGTAACATGATGTACACTGTTAGAACAGCCATCTGTATATTTACAGTGCAATGTTATTACTGCCATCTACCTCATTCTTTACAGTCAGTGACCTGTACTGTTTGGTGCTATTTTTCCATTAACTGCTGTTGTTGGTGGTGGTGGTGGTGTACTTGTCTGGTATGTGCAATAATGACTTTTACTGTCAGCTAAGGTTACCGGAAGATATTATGACAAAACCTAAAACGACGGCAAGTTACTGAAAAGCCACGAAAACCCCCAGTGATAACGAATAAAAGCTAAATGAACGATCTCAGTAGATAATGCTGGTTAGAAGGTATTTTTTTGTAACGTCAGTCAGTTAAGAGACAGTTAAACCGTTGACGAGCGAGAGCTGCACTCATTCGCAGACATGCTAACAAGACTGAAATTACTCCTGAACACTCTTAGCTTAGTCCACATTCGTCTAAGGCAAATGAGACTAACAGAACAGAGCGTGTTTAATCTTACCAGTGAGGTTCAGAGCAGCTTTAGCGAAGCGGTACATGTTTATTTAGTCTGTTTCTGCGTCTCTCTGAATACCCTTGAACGGTCTGAAACAAAATGGCAGATCACACACGCCGGATATCCGCGCGCGTCTTAAAGCGCATGCGCAGTCGTTGCCGACTGGGGGCGCTAAAAGCGGAGCAGTGTGATTCACAGATCTACAAATAAGACCAACCTGAATTTATTCACAGCTATGACGTGCAGATCGGAGGGTATTTACGCAGCGCTTCGCACTTGTAAATCGAGTAATTAAAATAAAAATGGCTAAAGTACACCATAACACGTTTGAGCCTGTACGGTGAATTAAACAAGGTCCTAAAATAATGTCAGGACCAAGAAAACACCGCCTTTGATATTTAACCGTAGCTTTGTTACCTAAGAAGCTAATGCTAGCTACTGCAACCAGCTATTAGACAGCAAACTGGGGACACCGGCCACCACTGAGGCGCCAGTTTACTACGACTGTAAATGCTTCACCATTCAGACGATCATACAGGACCGGAATTAAGGAATCTGTAATGGTGGAACTGAGCTAATATTGAAGACTGGCGCTGTACGTCTATTCCGCAGTCGTGTCAGGATGGCCGAGTGGTCTAAGGCGCCAGACTCAAGGTTCAGTCCTTCCGTATAAACGGGGTTTCTGGTCTCCGAATGGAGGCGTGGGTTCGAATCCCACTTCTGACACAAACCTTTTGTAGTTCTACGGGTTGCATGTTTACTTTCTGTATTTCTCCAAGAACGTCTTTAATCATGCATACATTACATTGTGGCTAACATGGCCAATATTATTTGTTCGATATTACTGACACTGAGAAAGGAGTATTTGACTACTAGTCTTTAAAGCATTGAGTGAGATGTGACCTACAGCAGTTAAAATTGGCTTTAAAAATGCAAACTGAATTAAAATATAACTGAATTGGTACAGGTGGACAAACCATCACAGCAACTGTCTATACTTAATCCCTGTCAACATATGACTGAACTAAAATTCGCCTACAGAGGATATTGGTAGTTTTATGCTTGATGGATTTGTTGAGTCCAGATAGACTACAACAATTTAGGGTCAGTTTCCCAGACACAGGTTTGACCTCTAGACAAACTTGCCAAGTCAGAATTGTGCACAGTGGTGGTGAGAGACCAGACCTCCACCTCTAAAAGCTCTCTCACAGAAATTTAACACATGAAGTGGTTAGATAAATGCTGCCTGATGTGTGAGACATTGTTTTATGAGTTTTATGATAAAGGTTTGGCTTCAAATGCTTTTGAATCGATATATTTTAATCCATTCATGGCGGAGGGGGACACACAGGGAATTGTGAGGGGAAAACAGTCCACAAAGAAAACTTATTTTACCATCATCAACATTACATATAAAAACTCAGAAGACTTGTGTAAATAAAATGGTTATGTTTGTAAGTTTCTCTACAAATTTCCATTTCACATCAAACCATTCTGAATGACTCTGTTTACATCTCAAGGACCGAATTATTCAGAAATTTTGAAAAATTTTCCTTTAATCCTTGCATGGGAAACTGCCTGTTAAAATAATTTTATCAAGTCATGATTAAGTTTGAATAGTGTGACAAAAAACTATTCTAACTTATTTTACCCTGGGGTCCACTTATGTCTGTGGTTTTGTGTAATAAAAACATAATTATTTTTACATGACCATCTTCCAACCTCTTTCTACCCCTTAGAATTAAACAAGTTGCTTTTTTTGTTACTCTGCCTTTAAGACCGATATATGTCTGAGAGGTGTGTTTTGACTGGCTGCTCTTATTGCTACTCATTCCAAAAGCAGGCCAGGCTGAAACACCCTCTATAACATCACTGTGAGTGGGCGGGGCTAAAATGCTGTGGATTTATGTAAACGTGTCGGTTTTCGAGACAACACAAAAGCAATGAATTCCAAACTGGCTGTTTTTGCAGCTTAGTTTCTATGTGTGGACTGGCGAGAAAACAGTAAGCTCCAAAACTAACAATGTGTACATACTACATCACCCCTTTTTTAAAAAAAAGGGCGAAAAAAATGCTTTTCCATATATAGGCCCTTTCATGTTCATGTATAGAGATTGTTCAGGACAAGAAGTCTTAAAAGTAGATTAAGGCGACTCAACACTAATTCTGTTCAGATCACATCACAGTTCAATAATAACTGCTGAAAACCAGATCTACTCTTTAAGGCCTCCTGCACTGCATGTTTTAGCATTTTCCCTATTCACAACACACCCAACTCATCTCAAGTAGCTTTCAATTAGGTCAGGGCAGTGGTAATCCATAACCAGGATTGAAAAGCACTTCTTGATCAGCGTCAGATGCAGATCTTATGTTATATTCATGTGATCTTTTTCTAAAATTGGAATAGCTGAGGTTCACACTTTCTATGATCACTGTCATTTTAGATGGACAAGAATTATGCAAAATATAAAGCCACACAATAGGGACTGTATTCAGTTGTCCAGTGCTTAAAACAGAAAAGCTGATCCATCAATAGTCTATCATAGCAAGTACTTGGTGTTCAGCATTTGTAATTGATTTTAAGAGGAATGGCACATACTGATATATTAGCATACGCATTACTTTATATTAGCATATTTACAGTCTGTAGGAGAAAATCTATTTGCATTTGCAATTATAAACAGGGCCAAGTTAATACATCTTCTTTAATGATTTGTACTCTCCAGGTACAACTGCTTCAACCAAGCTTTTATCAGTACCAAGGTCCCAAACATGGAATGTTACGTTTCGTCTACAGCTGTTGAATAATACAGCACATGACTACCTCTCTCGTGTGCTATTCTGAAATTACATATGAAATTTTTGTAGTGTGTAACTTTTTTTTGTATTCTGAACATTTCTTTTAGATAAAATGCTCAACAAACCATCAGAACATAAAACAGTGGGCCCCATATCAGTTATCACAGTACACTACTCAGGCATCCTATCTTAACTACAGATCATTACATTTGCTGCCACAGTCACATACACTACAGCATTCTTTAAGAAAATGCTGACCGAAACCTTCTTGGCAATCTCAAGACAGGTTAGTTAAGATCACAGAGAGGCAAATTGAACCTTGAAGACATTGTCATTCAGACCAAACAGTCAAAAACGAACCAGAATTACAGGCGCATTTTGATCACTGCAAGAAAACTAAGGGCAATGTGGACATGGCTGAGAGGAACTGAGGTGTTTGGCTGCCTCCTGTGCTCCTGAGCGTTCTAATCCTTCTTTTTGTCCTTCACTTCTTCGTCGTCCGTGTACTCTGTAGGCTCTTCGCCAGGCTTCAGAAGCTTGCCGATGTAATCATATTTGTCTGCAGAGCAAAGATATGCAGCATTATTCCCTCCAATAGTACTTTAGCGCAAGGATCATTACAATGTAGGGTGGACCTTCATAATTAACCCACAATCAACCGAATAAAAGTGAACTGAATCTCAGGGAGTGAAGAAAAGTTGTCTTTGGACTCACGGGTGAACTGTGTCTCCCACTCGCTCAGGCTCTCCTGCTGCATGGCATTGAGGTCTGAAAGATCATCATGCGCGTCTTTCAAGGCCTCCTTATCTAGACAAAATGTAGCCAATCCCCTGGAAGCATCCCTGCCTGCAAAGACCCCATAAGGGCCATCTGGAAAAAAAAAAAAACACAGCACAGGAATTACAACGACGTATTCATAGTACATATTTTCTGCTAAAGCCAAGGATTGTTATCATTGTGTCTAAGGCAAAGGTTGCTGTCTTTGGAACTGCTCCTGGAGAACATGGGTTTGGTTAACCTAGCTCAGTGCACTTTTACCCGACTTAAACCTGCAGGTAGGAGTCGACATTTACCCTTCATTGCGTACTGAATCCTGAAATATGTGTCAGACCTTTGGCCTTGCCCCGATCTCATTACTCATTTACAAACTACAAACAGCCTTAGTACTGTCCAGTCACAATGTGTGAGCAAAAGGCACATGAAATCTCTGAAAAATCCAGGGAAGGAAAGTGAAGTTATAAGATTTGAAATTAGTATTTACTTTGTAAGACTTTAGTTAGTAAGCTAGTAAGATGTTAACCTTAGTTAGTTATTAAGACGTTACCTTTTTAAAAAAAAAAAAGAAGTACATTCAAAATTTAAAACTGTATTGCTGATACAGTCTCTTCTCAGGGTCTCATCTGACATCTTTCATGAAACAATGAAACTGAGATACAATGAATGTTTGGTGTCCGATTCAGTGTAGATTTCGCATGTACATTTAAATAAAGAGCTTTTGTAATATGTTGGCACAGTACTGCGCAAAAGTCACAGCCAACCTTGCATTTCTTTTTATTTCCAAAAAAAAACTATTTTTCATTTTTCAGCATCAGGAGCACTAAAGCCTAAATATAATATTAAATTGTTCAGTATTTAGTGTGTCCACTCTCTGCCTTTATTACAGATTCCTTTCTTTTCAAAGAAATCTGCAGGGATGTTTTTTCACACCTCCAAAGTTCAGTTTTAGAAGTTGGTTGCATTTTCTGCTTCTCATGATCAAAATAATCCCAAACACATTCAGTGACGTTGAGGTCTAGTCCACTGTCCTGAGAACTCTATTTGTCTATTTTCTTCTGTTTCGTCTATTTTTTCTTCCTCAGCAACAGCTTCTTTACAGCTACGCATCCTTTCAGACTCATAGTGTTGAGCTGTCTTCTCACAGTGGAAGGATGGACAGAAACACCTGTGGATTTTTCAGATCTGAAGTAAGAGTGGAGCTTGAATTTCTCCTCCCTTTCAGAGTTGAAACCTTTAAGTGTTGTTTATCTGATGGTGACAGTTTTGTTGGTCTACCAGGTTTGCATGGCTGTTAGGAGTCCCATTTTCTCCATGTCTGTTAATTTTATAAACTCCAGTTTTGAAAACTCCTGTATTTTCCCATTTATCTTCCTTTGATTTCCCCTTCCTAATGCAAGTGTATCCTGTATCTAATCTCTTCAGAAAAATAAAGAACTTGAACTTAATTGCCATTTTGACTGGGAATTAAGTAAATGGGGTGCTGTCTAACTTTTGCACAGTACTGTCTTATAACAGAATCAACACGTTGTTAACAGACAAAATATCAAAAATTGACCTCAGAATCGAAAATCGTATCAGACCTAAACTGTCTGTATCGTTATCTAGGCAGACTTTCATCTGAAGCACAAGCTGCTAAGTACTAGGTTAAGGGTTAAAGTTGCTGAATATTTCAGGAGGTGCCACTGGACAAGGAAGGAAACAAGGGGTGTGGCCGAAATTACATGGAGAAATGTGTGCTGGGCATAGAAGAAGTGCACGAAAACGACAAAGCCTGTGCAGAAGTACACAGACACATGCAGCTAAAGCGCGGCCCGCCTTTTCCCTTAACCTAACCCTATTATCCCTCCGTCAATGGGACAAACCTATTACAGTGCATATTTTACAGTTCACAGATGACTTTGAAGCCCGCGAGTCAGAGGAAGCCTCTGAACACTCAGTGTTTTGAGCTGTTTTACCTGGTCCGTAGAACTTCTTTCCTCTCGTTACATCGAAGACTTTTCCGTTGACAGCCATGAGGATTCTGGGGTTCGTCACTCCATCGTACGGTTTCAGCTCCTCCAGAGTGAAGTCTCTCTTCTTCAGTTTGGGCAACGGCTCCTCGACCTCGCCCACGTCCGCGGGTTTATCTCCTCGAAGTATCTTGTACAAGAGAAACAGACAGAGGCACAGCAAGCTCAGATTCAGAGGCGAAGTGAAAATCTCTTGAAGGATTCCGGGAGAAGTTTGCTCGCTCTCCTCTTCAGCCATTTTCGTGTCTGACTCTGCGTGAGAGAGAAAAAAAAAACAAAAAGACGTCGAAGCTTATCGAGGAGCGACTCGCTCCACCAATCAGCGGAGCCGAAAACATTCGACTATTCTGCGCCGCCCAAACAGCTTCTTAGGCGAGCCGAGGGGCGTGTCCTGGTTTATATTTGCTTTGTAACTTAGTTAAAGTGTAGAAGTTTGTGAGTGAAGTTGCTTGTTTTAGCCAAGAAAGAGTATCTAACAATCAAAGGGGAACGCCACTGATTTTTCAAATTTCAAACGTTTCAAAATTCGGCATAATTAAATGGTTGAGATGTAAACAAAGTCATTCAGAGCTGTCTGGAGTGCAATGCTCTGTTCTAGAGAAACCTGCAGAGTCAGAATTATTATGATCTTTTATATTTGGATGTCTCGTTCCTGGTGGTGACAGGAACCGAACATCCACCTATATAAGATCCTTCACAGAAAGTAATTACATGAAGTGGTTAGATAGATGCTGCGTTATGTCTGAGGCATTGTTTCATGATAGTTTTGCGATAAAGAGTTTTTGAAAAAATGGTGGAATTCCCCTTTGATAAAACAGTTCTAAACATAAAGACTGAACTGGCAGTACGTTTCCACTGTTAGGCTTCACCGTACACTGTTTGCAAATGCTTCCAAAAAAGACTCGCATGAGCACAAAGACGAGAATTCTTCGGTTTCCCCAAATCAAAAGCATTTAAATTTAAAAGCAACAGAGAGTTGGAGTTCGCCATGACTGTTAATTTTTTCTTCGTACTGGAAAAAACGTGTCAGTAAACTGTGTTCATTCTGTTCTCGTGGGGCTTCTGTGGCTGCTGCTGTGTGAAGGTACTCCAAACCAGCAGGTGGCGCACTGGGGATCTCGGTGGGCTTCGCTTCTTACAGTAAAAGAAAAGATAAACTAGGAAAAACAAATCGCATCACAGGCATCGGGACAGAAAGTCCAGTGACGTGGCTCGCGAGGATCGCCTGACTGTGGACAAACAGAGGGATTAATAGGTTTGATTTTAGATCTGTCTTTACTGTTCGGCTGGTCTCAGAGTATTTGTGCGGTTACTGCTACATTAAAACAGACGGTAAGCTCGAGATCGACGAATAAAGTCCGTTTCGCGGTGTTGACTGTTGGTTTGACAGCAGTTTCATAAGACAGACTCGTGTTTATTATTATGTGTATAACCTCATACAGCTGAGTAATTACAGTTTCAGATCACCGAGCCGCCTGCTCTGGTGAGCATTCAGTCACAAAACCGCATTTGATAAGCGATCCTAGGCAGCTGTAACCAGATGTGGCCTTATAATTGTATGTCCGCGCTGTGATTACTGGACTGTGTCTCCAGCTGCTCACATCCAAATCCACAGCTTATGTAGTCAGACCTGTGTTGAGACTCCTGACTGTCCTCTACTCGCCACTCAGCAGACTCTTTCAGACATTTCAACACAAATGAACGGCATTGAAGCTCCTTTGCAATCTGAGTCTGAGAGTGATTCACCAGATAATAAGGTTTAGTGTAACGCTGTGCTTGATGAACTGCACCCTTAAAAATATGATTCTTCAGGGGTTCTTTAGTAAAGGAAATGGTTCTATTTAGAACCCAGAGTTCTATATAGACACATTTCATGCTTAAATGGTTATTTGCATGATGAAATGGTTTTTCAGATTGATATAGAGTGTGTTGGATATGGTTCTATATAGCACCAAAAAGAGTTCTTCTATTAATACAAGCTCGACATCATAACAATAAAAGAACCCTTTTTAGTGCTATATAGAAGCATTTTCAAAAAGATTCTATATAGAACCAAAAACAAAACATATTCCATCAATCTGAAGTACCATTTCACCATGCAAAGAACCATTTAAGCATGGAATGGTTCTATATAGAACTTATATTTACTGTATACTACATGTACCATGTATGTACTGTAAGTTTGGGGTGCCCAAACTTTTTTCTTGGGCGGCCAAAGCGCGAGGTTTGTGTTGGGCTGAGGGCCAAAAAGTTGAAACATTTTAAAATGTTACACCACATTTTGTTATTAAAACACTTAAAATACATTTTTAAAGGAAACTTTAAGAATTTCCTAAGATATATATAGTATAGAGTGTCTGTTCTCTCATTGGCTGAGGTGGTGGGGGTTATGGTAACTTTCTGGGGGACCAAAATAAACACCCTCATGGGCCAGCTTTGGCCTGCCGGCCACAATTTGGGCAGCCCTGCTGTATACTGCATGAGCATATAGTATATACTATACTTAGTACATATCACAGTATAATATATGCTGTGTACACATGATACATGTTGTGCTGTACAATATGGATACATATTTAGTAGATATTAAATTTATTACAATTTCTTTTGGATTAATAAGGTACACTATGCTTTCTCTGTCCATTAGAGGTTGGTATGTTCTAAGATGTCAAACAACGAAAGCCCAGTAAATGACCCAGCGGAAAAAGTAGAGGGTCAAGTCCCCAAAGCACCATCACAGGGTGATTCCTCTGCTGACTCTCAGAGCGACAGCTCCACAGATGTAGTCCCTACCCGCAAAACAAGGAGGAGACCAGAGAACAAACCTAAACCTAAAGAAACTCCAGAGACACCCACCCCAGAAGAAGATGCAGCAAAGGCAAGCCTCTTTCTTCTGTTGTTATTTGTTTTATGCAAGTTTAGCTTTAGACTAAGCCAAAAGGCCAAAGGATATGCCTGCACATTTTAAATCAGCACAGTGTTAATAAAGGTTTTGATCTTATATTAGTCACTAATGTTTTAAGTTCACTACTGGGAATGACAGCTACTGAGAGAAAAACCTTAAGCAGCTTGGTGGTTCACTGCTTGGAACTTGACAGTTGGAACAGTTACAAGGGCTGTCATGATTCCTTGAAAAACAAAGAATCCATTAAAATTGATCTTCTGAGTGAAACAGCAGTGATTACTAGGCTGTTTGGATGATGACAGTGCATATTTTGAATTTATTTTTTATTGTTTGGGACTCAGTTGTAAAAATAATCAGCATATTTCTTGATTGAACTCCGGTTACAGCTGACACTGGCTGATGTGTATAGTTATGAAAAACCAAAGGATGTGGCAATCACAGAATTGCTGTTATTCCGTTTTCTATCTTCTGTTCAGGCCTCTATGCAGACGACTGTTTCACAAGGTGGCTGGGGTTCCTGGGGGAGCTGGGGAAAGTCCATTCTATCTACTGCCACAGCAACTGTGGCCACAGTAGGCAAGTTTTTTCATAGTTAACTCGCACTTATTTAGTTTCTTAAACACTCCACTTCTGTAAGCTGGACTGAAGAAAGACCAATGACTTTGCTCACAAAAACATTTGTTTGTGTTCTGACCCAGGCCAAGGATTGTCTCAGGTCATCGAGAAGGCTGAGACATCATTAGGAATCCCCAGCCCCCAGGAGCTCTCTGCTCAAGTGGAGCAGGAAGAGAAAACAGATGGTATTGTACCTTTCCACTGTTAGCTATGCAAATGTCGTGCACAACTGTTGATTTGTTACTGAGAATCTTAAAGTAAATGTCTAGAAAGTAGATCAGCAGGTTTTTGGATTCTTAGCAGTCTAGAGTTATTATTTTGGTTTTGCATACAGTCGATTTACATAATAGTTATTTCTGTGTGGTTATATATTCACACAGTTAATTACATAGTTACATAAAGACTTGCATTTACATTCAATTTACTTTCCATATTAACAGATTCAAATCTGCACTTTTGTTTGTTAGAATGTCAGCAGATGACAAAAACATGGCAGAAGTGTACCGGCTCTGTTTTCATCTGCAACACAACACTCTGCACAACTCGTAATAAAATATGTCCTCTTATACCTAAGAACACGATTGTGGTAATGATTGAAAATGTAAAATCTGCATTTTCAACAGAACTTCTTCAGTGAGCTATGAGTGAGAAATAACTAATAGAAAATTAATATACATTAATACAAATATAGATATAATATAAAAGCACTATGCTTTTATGATCGCCAATGATAAACTGTGAGATAAAAGAGATAAACCTTGTTGAGCTTAAGCTATAAGTTTCTTACAGAAGATGTAGTGTAAATGGGGAAATTCTGCTGTCTCACTTTAGCTCCATCCAGCGGGGAAGCAGAAAAGGCAGAGGAAGAGGGATACACAATGGGAATGCTGTCCTCCAGCAGTATGGGGATGCTCTCGTCCATCTCCAGTATGGTTCAGAATACGGTACATATTCTGTCCTTTCATACATATATGTTGATACACCAGCCTAATAGCTTTTCCATGCTTTTGCTGTATTGGTTTGGTAGTGGAAGCTTTTGAAGTGTATTCGTCCACAGTGCTGTCTTACTCATTTTGTCTACCTTTTTCTTGTTGGCCAGGGTAAAACTGTAATAAGTGGTGGTCTGGATGCTTTAGAGTTTATTGGAAAGAAGACGATGGATGTGATAGCTGAGGGAGACCCTGGCTTCAAAAAAACTAAAGGACTGATGAACAGAACCTCCACACTCTCACAGGTGTGTTGTCAGTACTTGGTGGGACTTTAATAGCTGGACTCACTATTGTTGTCATAAGCATTATAGACTTTAATGAATCTCACTGATGCTGCAGCCACAAAAAATCTGTTATTATCTGTGCGTTATTAGTGATATTCTAGTTGACACCAAATAAAATGAGTCTTAAATTTGTTTCAGAGTATCAGGTTGATGCATTACTGTGTGTTAATGATAAATGATAAAAGATTAATGGTAAATGCTTGAAAATATGAAAAATGCATGAAGTTATGTAAAAATGACTTTTTCTTTGCGTATGTGTTTCTTGCTCATCAAAGGTTTTAAGGGAGGCAAAGGAACGAGAGGAACAGCAGAAGACTGAGAATGTTACCTCGGAAACACAGAAGGTGGCTCATTATGGGATGTTGTTCGATGAGTTCCAGGGCCTGTCCCACCTGGAGGCTCTGGAGATCCTGTCCAAAGAGAGTGAAGCAAAGGTAGAGACACAGTCTGAAAGTCTGTGGAATGGCCCCTCCATCCATGTCCATTATAGTTTAAACCATTATGTTTTTTACAGCATCTTTTCAAATGATGTTTGACTGAGTTGATACACCACATGAATTTAAGCAATGCATTCATAGTTTCAAATATGTAGTTTTTACACACAATAATGCTTAATAGCAAGCATTAAAGCTTTTATAATAGCTTAAAGACTTATGTCCTGTAGGTTACATACTATCCGGATAATGGTAATAGCAAGTTTATCATTCTAATATAATTACAGCTAAGAAGCATTTGTATTTTTTAATAGAAAACTATCCCCTGCTAAATTCTTTATTTTACTATTTCTGTGCAGTGAAGGCCACTGACAGGTTTTCTGTTATGTCTGTGTGCAGGTGAAGTCTGTGCTTCTCACTCTGTCTGGTGATGAGTTGGTCCAGCTGAGAGAGGAGCTGGAGCAGATCAAAGAGTCCTTCTCCCTCATGGAGTTTGATGATGAGGAGGTGGATGATGCAAAAGGTAAAAGCTAAAATAGGTACTGTGAGTACAAATGACAATATGAAGTGTATTTTTACATTTATATAGTGACCTAACCAGCTTCACAGTTTTTACATTGCTTATTATTTTCATTATTTTCAAAATATATTCAAATATCTTTGTTCTTTTAGAGGATGATGGTGAAAACTTTCAAAAGGAACTGACAGAAGCTCTAGAGAAGCTCCACATATCGTCAACAGCTGAGAAGCTTTGCAAGGTACGTTTTTATCCTGTTTTGATATAGGTACTATTAATAAGTTTGAAGCTAAAACATCTCACACTCATACTGTATGATTTTTCCTCAGGCCAGGAAGAACGCATTCAGCCGCGTCATAGACATGAAGCTGCTAACTGAAACCAATAAAGAGGAAGATGAGGGCAATGAGCAGGAGGAAGCAGAGACCAAATGCACAGTGGAGGTAAAGGATGTACATGTAATGTTCAGACATCTCTAACTAGGCACATATCTTACCGGTATTTTATTATTTCATTCTTGGTAGTCTAGACCAGTGATTCCCAGCCCTTGTCCTAGAAGCTCAATGATCTGCATATTTTATTGTTTTCCTTGCTCCATGCACACCTGATCTAACTAATCAGGGCTGGATTTCCGAAAAGCGTCTTAGCACAAAGATGATTTTGAAGTGATAGAGCGAGCACCACAGTGAACACTCTCTCCAACACTCCTACCAGTTAAGATGATCTTAACACTAAGATGCTTTTGGGTAACTGGGATAATTTGTTCATTATATCATTTTATTTTAGTCCTTTAGTTGTATGAGGTGTGTTGAGAGCAATGTTGAGCCCTGAAATGTGCAGGACAGTCAGGTGGTCCTCAAGGCTTAGAGAAGGACCTACAGCACACCAGGGGGATGGTGGTCAAGTTTGGGTATAAGGTATTGTGATGGAGACCTAGTTGGCGGGAGGCCAATTAGGTCTGTCAAATATAGAGAAAATGTTGTGAAATGTGATGATTTTTTTTGTCAGTTTATTTTTATTAAACAGTGCTTAAATTCTTAAACAGATGAGCCCCTGCAGCAGGCTAATGCTCACTGTTAGTTGTCTGTTACTTAAATTTGCATTCATTTTTTGTTGTGTGTCAGTGATCATTACAACAGTTGTTCAAGCCATTGTTTTGACTGCCTACTTTTATTTTGATTGCTTGATGTTTCTGTCAATTTAATGAGCTAACAGAATGTCTACTTTAGGAAAACCTTCTCAACATGCCCAAAATATCAACACTTTGTTATACTAAATAGTAAAAAAGAAAAATTCTATTTTTCCTCAACAGGCTGCTCACTCATCTGCTATCACAAGCCTGGCTGAGCTCACAGCCAGATCCATCGAGCAGTTCCACAAGGTGGCAGAGATGCTGCTTCACTCCAACACTGTAGAGGTCACTGCCCTGGAACAAGCCAAAGTCCTTTCACAGTAAGTCCCTTCCAACAAACAGCTAGACCTTTATTTAAGTTTAGTAATTACACAACTATAAGTGTTTATGCTTCTTTTCAGAATCACAATTGTTCTCTGCAAGGAAATATCACTACTATCCAAAAAGTTCACAGCTTGTTTAACTACAATTGGGGTAAGAGAGCCGAGCCCCCTCCTGTGTTCCATGCGTGTTTCATACATTTATATTCAGATATTCGTACATTCTTTTATAGCTCGTGTCAGTAAATGATAATGAATTTATTTTCTTGACTCATCCTAAAATGTAAATAAAGAAATGATCTTTCCTTTGCAGTCAAATGAAAAGGGAGAAGTCCTTAATCCACTAATCACTGGAGTTTTCCTGGAGGTTTGTTCCACAAAGTTGAATTTGACATATACGTCCTTGAACATTTACACATAAACATTGGCTGGTTTCCTGGGCATGGATTAAGCCTAGTCTTATAGAAGCCAGTGGTGAATTACCATTAGAAATCGATTTTAGTCTAGGCTTAAGCTTATTCTGAGTCTGGAAAACTGACCCTGTAAATTTAAAGGACAGATTTGCAGTTTAATTTTTAAACAATGGTATTCAGGTTAAATGGTTACAGTTTTTCTCTGTTTTTTTTACTCTCAGGCTTCCAACAGTGCATCATATATCCAGGATGCTTTCCAGCTCTTAATGCCAGTACTAGACGTGTCTCACATTCAGAGGACAGTTGACTCAGGCCACCACTAACCGCTCAGTACTCTTTACTGTGCCATGAAGGGATCCGAACAACAGTCAAGGACAACAAGGATAAACTGCTGCAGTATTTTGATTGGAATCAAAAATGTTTAGTGATGTGTATGGAGCTCAAGTAAATACAGCAAATACTTTTGATGTACTGTATGTAATAGTTCAGAATTGGCTTTTTATTGTTAACTCTGCCAATGAAGTGTTATTGAGGATTTTATATAATTTTGAAAATGTAAGTTATGTAAAGCTGTTGTGCATAAAAGGGCATATATATTTTCTCTTATGCAGATTTTGACCACTTATAAGCTTTACACAGCATCACTTAACACTTTGGTAACTTGTTTTTGATGTTGCGCAAACAAATAGAATTGCATTCATAAAGTACATCATAACAGTGTTGGTTTGACCTTCACTCCTAAAGGAAAAACGCTGCCACAAAGCGTTCTTTGTTTGATGCCATAGAAGGACCACTGTTGGTTCCTTAAAGGACATATTAATAAATGACTCTTTGGAGAACCATTTTTGTTAATGAGATGTGTTCTTTAATGTTTCAAAGAAACTCCACATAATGTAAAGGTTTTTTAAACTTTTAAAAGTGGCTCTTCTGTGGTGGTGGTGATCAAACTGTTCCTCAGGGACCCACAGGTTGTCCACCATTTTACTCTGCCCCTGTACGTTGTGGGTTGGGTTGAGCAAAAATGTGAACCATCTGGCGGTCCGAGGACCAGTTTGAGAACCAGTTCTATGGTATCACTCTGAAAACCATTTGTGGCACTTTATAATGGCCGAGCATTAATATGATTGCATCTGAGAATTGCTTAAAGTTTTTAAGGAATATAAAGTATACCTCTTCCTTTAGCTCTGCCTGAATACTAAATATTATTGATGTATATTGTAATCTAAGGATAAGACGGTTTAGGTTCTATACTGTTTGGTTGTTTCATCAAAGAGACTCGGTTACAGTAGTTTTTGAATATGTTAGTAATTTTGACAGAAAGTGACTAATTTTGTTTGATGTTAATTGAACATGAACCCATAAAAGTAAAGGTAGGTTAAATGCAAGACAGACAACTGTTGAGTCTGTATGTGTGTGTAGTATAAGGAGTACCTCCCATCGGGTGATGCATATGAAATGGACTGTCCTTGACATGACACGATCCTCTTTTACCAAATGATGCTGCTTTGCTTAATTCTCACGACTTCTGTTTTTAAAGAATTTTAATGCTTACATTTATATGTATATACAGTTTTATTCCTCTAGCCCAGTGGTTACCAACCCTCCTGGAGATCTGCCTCCTAGCAATGAGTTCCAGAGTTTGAACATGCTGATCCAGCCAAGTTAATTAGCTGGAGCAGGTTGGGTGTTTAGAACTCAAGGTCCAGGACTAGGGCTTGTGACCACTGGTTTAGCCTAACACTCATTAGACTGAAGAGCTAACTAAAACAGCTATGATCAGAAATATGTCACATGAAATATGAATAGTGTCCTCTTTAAATTATATAAAGAGGGCATGGAGGAAACATGTATTGTTATGTTAGGCAAGTCAGATTATAGTTTCGGGTATACCCCAGTGCTTTCTGAGGAGGCATGAACAATATAATGTAGTGTAACTCAAGATACTCAATTAAAGAAACATCTACAAAACAAGCTCATCTTGCCACACAAATACAAGTGTAATAGACTTCATTTTTATCTGCATGACAACAAGAACATACAGGTACATTCATACAAAAAACAAGACTATGATGCAGAAGCTGGAGACGAAGGAGATGCAGAGGCTGGAGATGAAGGAGAGGGTGAAGGAGACGCAGAAATGTTCAGCTGTTCTAACTTTTCAGTTAAAGATGCCTCTGTGTTTTCTGTGGACTCTGTAAGGGGCTCCAGAAAGTGCCCTCCGGCAACCTTCTTGCCAGTCAGGGGGTCAACCACTGCCCCGACTTTGAATACTATCTCAGCCAGTTCATGCTTGACATGTTTGGATCTGCTCTCTGGTAAAGCCTTCAACAACACAATGTCCCCAACAGTGCACTGCTGCAAGGCATCATGTGCGAAGTATGTCTTCCTTTTGTTGTAGTACTGAGAAAAGTAAGAAAAAGATTATGAGAACATATTATGGCCACTCCGATCTAGATCATTTGGCTAGTAATTTAGTAATTCTGAAAACACCACAAAACAAAATGGTTTAAATCCATGCTAAATACTGTTTGCTAATACAAGATCCTGTTTTGGTAGTACATTCACCTGGAGCGAGTTTCACAACATCACTGTAGCTCAATTATTACCTTATATAGAGTGCATATCAATCTGAATTTTTACTTCATTATTTCAGGTAAGATGAACTTTCAATATCTGCTTCTGGGACAGATCATTTGGGCGTGTTATCAGGTGCAACTGCAAAACACTTCCCCAATACATTCTCAGTTTGCAAAGCTTTTCCATACCTTAAGTAAATATGGATCCAGGACAAGTCTAGTAACCCGAACTTTCGCCGTCTTCCTCATCTTGGTTCCAATCACTCGACCAATAACCCATTTTGCATGGACCGATGCTTGTTTTAAGGACATGTTTAAGACTTCCAATGCCCTGAAATTCACATATTCATGCTTAAATCTAACAGCTTCACACCGAATGTGGGTAATAACTAGACACATTTCCTCAGTTATGTGTATGACAGTAAAAATGGGATGCATTTGGGTATTGTCAAATGATACTATTCATAGTCAAGTATATTTTCCTAATTAATCAGCTTTTAAGCCAGTTCCACTTTAGTCATTCACATTCTATTACTGATTCTCCTTTTGCAATTTTCTTTCTTCATTCTGTTCTGTTCAGCACATGGTCTGCTTTACTGATCACATCTCTTACTTCGAGATTTATCTTTACAGGCATTTTAGACCAGAAGAATCTCAAAAAGTTAAGAATAGTGTCTGACAATCTTTTATAGTGACAGATGTTGGATGTGTGTATTAATATGTTCACTGCAGTTATAGGGAACTCAGTATTCAACGTTAGGTAGGGGTGTGACACTTTGTTTGCTTTAAGCTGTTTTTGGCATCTACTCTTACTCTGCTTCCATCACTATTAGCCAGTAATCACCTACTTGAGCTGGTTTACAGATTTAAAGTTGCAGTAAGTGTCTGCATGTGGTTTAGACACAGAGGAATGTGAGCAATAGCTTAAACCCTCTCTCCCTCTGACTCTTCTGTTCAGACTCGGACTGAGTGACTCACCTTAGAAATCTGACCGACAGCTCGGTCAACAACCCGGGCTCGGCGCTGCTCTTAACTAGCTAACAAACTCGGCTATTATCACAGTATATGAGCACTAATACGCTCGTAAACGCTGTAAACTGGACAGACTTACCGTGCTGCTTACGGTAAAGTCGGTAAGATCTATAAAAGGACATTAACGGACACGAACGAAAACATCCAGCATGGAGGCTGCGAATGTCAAGACAAGAGGCGCGTGTTGATGACGTTTCTACGGCGCGCCGAGTAGAGCAAACTAAACTGCCTATCGAAACCTCAGGACTTTTGTCGTTCACAATATCGATCAAAAGTATTTTATGTGTTTATTGCGGAAACGCATTATTTCGTCTTTTGGAAATTCACAGAGATAAATGTACACATGAATACATGATAAATCTTACACTTTTAAAGGCAAACTTTTATATTCATAGGTGTAAATTCTCAGGTAAAAGACCTGTTACCTTTGGAAACCTGTAAAAACTGCTAAAGAGCGTACTTCAGTGTTTTTGTGTTGTTATGTGTATCCCCCTAGCACATTTATGTATATGTACACTGTTATATGAATATTTTTTTTATGTATCTGGTGTTGTGTACTATGTTTTGCTTTCAAGTACAATAATGAACTGCCAATGAGGACTTTGTTATGAATGTATTGTTATTTTGGGCAAAATTCTATATCCATAACTGAAAATTACCCTTAAATTTTACATGATCAAAAAGGACGTTGAAACGTATATGCACTATTTTTAAAAGAAACCCCTTTAGCACTTAATACTCTCATACACTGTACTACTTATAAATAATATAATATTCCTTTTGTAACTCTTTGCACTATTAAATTGTAAATTCTGTTTGTATGTACATTATAAATATAGAATAGAATAGAATAGAATAGAGTACTTCATTTAATTTACATAAAACTGATGTAAATGAAATGGACAATAAAGTATGGCATCTGGAGACGTTACATTATACACAAAACAGAATAAAAATATAGTGAAATGCAGTTCAACCTTTAATATGTATAAAAGCAGCAACAACATGCTCATTGCAAACATGGAGGGAAAAAAGACATAATTACAGAACAATATACAATTACACAAACAAAACACATCACAGATTCACACACAGATAAATGTACATAGGCGAATTCTCTCTCTAAGGAATTCAGTAAAACCAAGACTTAATAAGAACTGCCACAGCTAATGGAATAAAGACTTTTTGAAACCATTTTCTCAAACAGGATCAGGAATGCTGAAAGATTATCTCCTATGATCTTACTAGCCTGGTTTGTGTCTCCATACCATGATACAATTTTAAATGTCAGAATAATCTCAATTAATGACTTAGACCAGGTCAAAGTATGTTTACTGGTGTTAAAACTCTTTAACTTTCTAAAAACAGCAAGACGCTGTCTTAATAGCACAAATAGCTTGTTAGCTTTCTACCTCTGATTCAATATGTACATGTAAACATACTAAGTGATTTGAAGTTGACATAAATTTAAAATGTTCCTTTATTTAAAGATACTCACAATTTTATGAATCTAATCTGACAGATGATCTACTTTCTGAATTTCCTGTAATGGTAAGCAAATTTCATTATGAGGAAACAAATAGAACAATAAAAACAATACATACAAAACATTACAAGCAAGAATAAATACAACACAAGCATATAACAGGGGTACGTGTTACATATACTACCTTTTAAAAGTTTAGAGGAATGCAATAAACTGGACACCATATGAACAGATGGTTTATTCACAGTTTGAAGGATTTTTTGGGGAAAAAAGTATGTCATGATCAAAAATAGTAAATATGATCAAATAATGAACTCAAACAATCTATTTACTATAATACGCCAGCAGTTACCAATCATATTCATGAAGGGCCAGTGTAGCTACAGGTTTCCTTTCCAATCAAGCAAAAGCTACCTGATTCCACCAGTTTTATCAGTTGGTCTGTCTTCAAACAGCTGATTTTGTGAGGTGTGCTCCTTCTTGGTGGGAATGAAAATCTGTAGCCACGCTGACCCTATGTGGATAAAACTGGTGAGATCTGCTTTTTGCTATACAACTTTCTTAATCATTATGGAATCATCTACAACTCCATTCATCACAAAACAATGCTTAATTTTTGCAACATCCTACAAACTGCTTGAAACCTACAGAATATTAGTATCATATTAGAACCATTCAGAATATTAGAATCTAGTGATTCTACTCTAGGCAAAAGACAGAAAAGGGACCCCCTGGAGAGACATAAATGAGGCTCTGGGCTACCACTTGACGTAACCACCTACACTGCAGGTATCTGGGCAAGTGAACTCACTGAGATTACTTTCAAGAAAGTAGTAAGTAATTTAATCCCATTCAGTGTTGAGAGACGTAGTTAGTAACTTGAATTGATTAATTTTTGATTAACTACTCCAATACTGGAGCTATGTCATCTAACATTAACGCTACCATAACGCTAAGACTGAGGAGCACTCAGTTTTGTTTTAATGGAAAAAAAAATTTTAGTTTAGTATTGCGACAAAATGTTTGCTTTCCTTCCAGGGCCACTGGAACAACGGGGGCCAGGGGGCATTTGACCCACCACTTTTCAAAGTAATGGGGTGACGGCCCACCATTTTCATGACCCTTACATTATAAAGTAATTAAGCTACACGGAGCGCTAAACAATAGACACAAACAGAGAGAGTCAAACTCAACAGCAGAACCAATCAAAATATCAATTTCAGCTGGGGGCCTGGACATTTGTCAAACAGCAAAATCTTTGTTAGTTTGTGTTCAGTGAGAGGAGTTGGAGCTCACTGATCCGGTAAAAATGTTTTTATTACGAAACATGGACTAATGCACTGGGTCACAGTCTGAATTTCAGTTTTAACATCTCTTACTGCTATACTGAGATCGCTGTCACACTCACCTTATTTGATGTGGACTTGTCAAACCTTTTCTTTAGTTTGATTCGTTTTAACATGTGAACACTGCACCTATTATCAGGTCTGCACCAAACAACTAAACCGGGGACCTGATTGAGTTCACTGCTGGTGGGAATTAACAATGGTCCACACCAAATGAGAGAATTCAACACCAGAGGCTGCTTTCATAATGCACATCAGCACTGTATTTAGTGGGTAAATTTGATGAATTGTTTTTATGATACCTTTTTAACCTTATTAGTATTTGTCTGCCATCATCATAACTCTCAAATAAAGGATTCCAAACAATGAAAAAAGGAAAATTTGCATTAGATCAACAAAACTGGACATGTGAGATGAGGAGTAAAGTTTTAAAGACTGATGAGTCTAAATTTGCAGTTCGGATTACTTAGATTGTGAGAAACAGAAAATGCAACCAACTTCTAAGACTGAACTGAAGGTGTGGAAAAATATCCCTGCAGATTTCTTTGCATAACTGAAAGCAAGTGTCCCAAAGAGAATGGAAGCTGTAATCAAGGCAAAGTCAGGACGCACTTAAGACTAAAACAATTCTTTTTCAATTTTGCAGCCAATATAACTGAATAAAAACTAATTAACTATTAAAATTTGGCAGATAACACAGATTAAACAGGGTGGAGACGGGAATTGTTAGACACATTATTAGACTGTATATAGTTATATAGGCCATGCAGAACAGATGAAGGACAAGTTTTATTCGGTTTCCCCATTAAAATGTACTGCAATTCAAGTCTGTTTGCTGTGTTTCATTTTGCTCATTTAGAAAGCATACAAATTACGGATTTCACTAGACCTTCCTAGTGGTTACCTGATAGTTCATAATACCTGAATCCAAATTATTAAAAAAGCACAGCACGACACTATCACTGTATGTCCAAAAGTATCCAGACGCCCTTCTAATTAGTAAATTCTGCTATGTTCAACTGTGCACACAGCTCGTATAATTTCCACAGAAAAGCTTTTTAGAATGGGACACTCTGGAGCAGCTGCACACGAACCTACATTCAACATGCCCAACGCCAAGATTCGGGTATAAAGCCCCCCCATTATGGGGCTGCGGAGCAGTGGAACTACATTCTATGGAGTGATGGAGCACCATCCAATACCTTTGGGATGAGCTGAAGTGATGTTAGTGATCCAGAAATCATCATCCAACATCTGTTCCTGACCTCACTAATGCTCTTCTGGCTGAATTCAACCAAATCCTCACAGTAATGTTCCAGCATCTAGTGTAAAGTCTTCCCAGAAGAGTAGAGACCTTTTGTGCATCAAAGCGGGAGTAAACTCCAGTTTTTTCTTCATGGCTCAAAGTGGGTAATGTAAATTAGCTAACTTAAGACTCAAAGTGAAAGACACTTGTGAATGTTGAATAAATTTAGTTAACCATAAATGTAGCTTAAGAGACAATCATTCAAAAGAAAATGATTTAGCTAACCGTTTGGTGTGAAGTGGATAATTTCTAAAAGCTCTTCATGAATTCTGTCTAAATTTAAACCATAGGACAAAGTTCTATACAAGCAAAGCACTTTCGTTTGTGTACGTTCCAATTCTCTCGTAGACTTTTTGGCTTGCAGTTCTAACTGGCGTAGGCTCAGGGGGGATTTGGCCTTTGTTAAACAGAGAGATGTGTCTAAAATAAGGTAACAGGTCATACCATGCTCTAATGTGTGTTCAACATGGCAAGAATAAGTAATCCCTGGATGGGAATTGGACAAGCGCCAATGCAACACAATCTGGTATTAATCAGAAAAACACAGAAAACATGGCCTGTTGCTATGTGATTCCCATTTAAGGCAGTGCAGTGGGGATAGTTAGCAAAGGGTTAGATCTCCATCAGTCTTAACAGGTTTTCACATACTGGAATATATCATATACAACCAATAAACAGTGGACAAATTACATTTTAGGCATTTTTGAGCGGTGAGTTGAAACAGCACATTGTGCAAAAGCCAGAGATCACCCTTTTGTTTATTCAGTTCCCAGTCAAAATGGCCATTAAGGACAAGTTATTCATTTTTTGGTATCAGAAAAAAGTACAAAACATATGTTATACAAAAATACACTAAATCCTTCAACACTAAGTATAGTATCAAATCTATCACTATTACGTTTGTCTGCTACTTTTTGTGCACGCTACTGCCTCTTTAACTCTTCCATCCTTCCAATATTAAAACTGAGTTACAGCTACATCCTCCCAACAAGCACTGTTCCCAAGTGTCACTGACATTATATTCCCTACAAAGAGACACTAACAT